TGAGCTGTAGAGGAGGCAAGCTCGTAAACTTGTCCGGCCGTGCCCCTTCCTTTTTCACGGGAAGCATTCGTTTTCGGCTTCGGTTTTCCTTGCTTTTTTCTTCGTTGTCATTTAGGGCATCCACAACTACTCAACCGCTGTGAGCCCACAAAATCGCTTTGGATGTGTTGCATCGAATACAGTCTATAACAAAACAAATTAGCCTCACTGTGTTCTAATATAAAAATCCTCCTCGGAAAATTCTGGCATCCTTCCCTAGTTTATGAATACGTCACTGTTATCACTAGAGACAATAAAGTTTCGCGCACGAAGAATTCAATTTTCGAGGAGAAACAAATTTGCGAAAACCGCACCTCTAGGAAAGGTCGAAGGAAGGTCCGTGCGAGGCCAAAGCCGGGGCATGGGAACAAGTGCGCCATGGGACGGATACGTATCAGGCGTCGCATTGAAAGAGTCGGGTTTAAAGCGTCGATTTTGTAGAATAGAGACAAAATAACGATAAAGTAGGATGCAGTAGAAGTGTGTGATCTTATTGCGGCAAGCCAAATGGTCAAAAGAATTTCTGGTAATAGCACTCCCAGTACCAAATTTGAAGGGAGCGATTGCGATAGGTTCTAGAAGGGTTTAGAGGAGACGCGCTGGTGCTCAGTGGTACGCCCGTGGAGAAAAAGCAGTGAAACGTTAGAAAGCATAAGATTCGTAACCCCCCCCCCTTTTTTTGGCCGTTGGTTTTCACTCATGAACAGGTAACAGCTCAGAAAGCGGACGTATGAACGAGTTCACCGCAACGCGTTTGGTGGCCATGCCAAACCACGCTCCAATCGAGTTGCTCCAGTTGTGCCGCTGCTGGCAACGCAGCTCGTCCAAATCACCAACTGAACTAGTGGGCGGATCGCTTTTGGGGGCGGAGTGCTTTCGAAATCGCGCTCAGCGACCGTACATCCTTCATCGTGTAAGCCCCAGCTCGCTTCCTTGGCGGCCAAGTAAGTGCTTCGTGCGGTGCATACGCTTCTCCAATGCGCTCTTTCTTTATCGTAATTGCTTCCTATATACGTTACTGCCGCCGCATTTGTGACAGATGTCCTGCGGGGATTCAAACGCGTAGCAGTTATTCCGTTTTTTTTTTGAATTGGTTATTAAAAGAAATGCAATTTTTCTGTTCTTTTCGTTCTTATCGTGATCTGTGGGTCTCAATCCAGTGATTTATGGATGAGAATCATGACTTTTTCGGGAGGATTCCTTCAACAATTCACATACTGAACAGAACAGCGCGGACTGTCTT